GGGATGTGTGGCCAATTCCATCGAGCGTTTGGTTTCATGCAGCAAGAGGCTAGAGTACCCAGAGAAAGCCTACACATATGAGGGGATAACAATACAATTTAGATTCATATCGCGTTCAAATGCAACTGTCTCTCAAGATGCTATATAAAACAAAGGTAAAAAAAGGCAGCCTGGACTTGAACTGGGGGCAGGGAGTTAACAGCACGGATGGCTGGGGAAAGGAGCTTCAGATTATGGGGGCAGTAGAGGAGAACGAGCGACCTCCCACTGAGCGAAGGTGGACTCGGGGCTTTGATAGAACGCCTTGGTTGGTGGCGCGAATGGTGCATGGAGGGGGGGGGGGGGGGGGAGTAGAGTGAGACGAGTAACGAGAATGGGAGCGTTCATGGGAGAACCTTTAAAATTATGAGGGCAGTCTTGGAAGTTGATACAGGAATAGATTGGCAGCCAGTGGGGGGATCCGAGTATTGGGGTGATGTGGTCTCGTTTACAGTTGGGAAGTCTGCCAGCAGGATTTTGGATCATCTTGAGTAAGGAGATGAGGGATTTGGGGAGGGCGTAGAAAAGAGAGCTGCAGGAGTAGAGTTGGGATGTTATGAAGGCATGGCTGAGAGTCTCAGTGGAAGATTGCAGAAGGGAATTGATGGAGACGTTGCACAGATTGGGTGAGGGCGTCCTGCCGATTTGAGATATGCATGACGTGAACTAGAGCTCAGAATCAATGGTGACTCCAAAGTTTCTCACACTCTTCTATGCAAACCTTCAAACAGATGGATCCAAAAGACACTTCTTGCACTGCCATTTCTTGGCCATGGTGCAGCCCAGCGGGTTTGGGAGTTTCACTAATTTGTGGGACCCATCTCTCGCCTCGAAAGCACTCGAATGTTTAGATATACTAGTCAGTAGCGCCGGTATCAACTGTTTCAGTAATAAAATGTAATGCTCAGAAGATACTTGTCCAAATGTGCAGAGTATGTGTCCCAGTAGCGTATGCGTGTTCCACTGCAAACTCTTTAGAGACACGTTTGGTTGTCTAGGGCCAACAGGCTGACCTCGATGAACAACACGTGCGATGCTGCGCAAGCCAATTTTCCAAAGCAATTACACGTTTGCATTATCACCACAACAGCTCATGTGCAATCTTAACAATTCATGAATTCCCTGCATTAGGGAGGCATTTCAGCAATTAGCACAACAATGTGCCATCATGGATTTCGTATCATACCGTATGTTGATATACAGTAATGCATTTTTGAAGATATGATACCTTTTATCTAAATTGAGATCACTTGGGGTTGTTCCTATTTCTTTAATGTATTGTATTATTCTATTATTGTGAGATGATGCATTGGGTTGTGAAGCTGGGACAGTGAGAGAATACGAAATGGGCAAATCGAAAGGAGATGCAGTCATAAAAATGCTGCATGTGATGTTAGGACATTTAAATAAATTAAAAGCGTTGGTCCTTTTCAAAAATTGTATTCCCGGTGTAACATTGGCATTATGGTCACCACGAACTAAAGCATCCATTCGGAAATCTCACAAAGCGGTGTAGACGGTGCACTCTCCCACACACGAGACTGGTGCTTGTCACACGATAACCAACTGTGAGTTCTAATTCTCAGAACGAATTGAGTTAAACAAACTAACTTCATGACAGATTTTTGTGCTGCCAGAGATAACACCTCAGAAAGCTTTGTGCTTTCGTGTCTCATAAAGTTCCATGCTCAGCCCCAGTGCAAAATCATCTCCAGTTTTAATGTTGGAATCGCTGCTATGCCAATGACACTCAGCTCTGCATCACCAATGACTCTGCATCCCCAACCTCACCATCTACCTTCATATCATGCCTTGGTCCAGTCTCATTTTGGATTGGTTGTAATTTCCTCCAGCTAAATATTTCCGAAACTGAAACTACTTTACTCCTCATCGGGTAACAAGTCAACACTCAGTTGAGGCTCCAGTTTCAGTGTGCACTTCTTAAAGTCTGTCATTATACTGGCAATGTGTCCAAGCTCTCGTCCTATTCCCATCTCAACTCTGCAGGCTTTCATACATCCATAAGCGAAGAATCTCCTGCATCCACAATATTCTCACATTGGCTACCACTGAGAACCTTTAACACCCCTACAAAATCCCCCATTTCCAAGTCCAAATGATCTAAAATGCCACTGCCAGACTCCTGACTTGCATCGTAATGTTATCACATACCTCAAGTCCTCCACTGGCTCCCAATCTAATCCGAGATCAATTTCAAGAATGTACTCATGGTCTGCAAGAACCGCCATGAGTTTAACAATGCGAACTTCTCACCCTCTCATCTCACTCTATTCCCCATCCTCACACTCACCTACCTCTCCTCTCTCATCTCACTCCACCCTGCACACTCTGGTTCAGTAACTGAGGCCATTTCTCAAAGCCCCCAATCAACCTTTGCTCAGTTGGAGGTTGTTACTTCTCATCTACTGCCAATATAGTGTAGTCTAGAATTCCCTTCTTTCAACCATCCGTGCTGTTGACTTCCTGTCTCTCTCTCTGATCAAGTCCTGATTCAAGACCTTCCACTCATGTGTCAATGGCTGACTTTTGTTCAAAATAAATACCCTTTTCATATGGTACCCATGCCTCATGGTTTTACAGTATATTGAGATATGTTGGAATATTGACGCTAATTGTGTATTTAAGTTGAAATGAGACCATTACCTTCCTACACTTGAGAACCAGGTTTATTCACGGGTGGCTGCCCAGATTTGAACTCGGGATCTCTCAGCATTTCCGGCTCGGCGCTTTGACTTCTGAGTCACCAACACGCTTGAACAATGTTAGCAACTTTTAATTGCTCATCTTTACATTTGGAGATTAAAATAAAATAGCACGTTGGTGTTATGGGGTGTATCATTTTAATACCTCATTCCAAAAAACTATTTGACTGCCCCTTATAAATACAGCCAGTCCGTTACTTCCCCATCATCCTTTGCTATACATCAGCGCCTAGGATGATGCGTAGAGGGCAGTCAGCAGAACAAATTATGCATTAAGAGGCGATTTTATCTGCTCCTCAGTAAGCCTCTTGTTCATTAACCTTCCACGCACAGGCTGATAAGTGATAACACTGGATATACTTCCAGATCTCACAGCGTTCTTTATGCTTTACGTACACAGGGCTCTTGTAAACGCCTCAGATGGGTGTAAAGATAATTTCCCAACGCAGGAAACGTGCGTACAAAGCCAGCTTTCTTGCGAGCGGATATGTTGAACTGAGATGAGGATATTTTTTTTAAGTCAACAAACAGGTGTCTGACGCCCGAGCAAGACCTGCAGGGTGTTTTGTAAACTCAGAGGGCACTCTGAATGTCGTGCCCGGGCATGTGACCACGTGTGCTGCCTAATCGCAGCCTGTGCCATCTGCTTCACTTGAGGAATGTGTTGTTTGCCCCGCGTATTTTTTTCACCGAATGAACCTTTTTTAGTCTCTTTGACCACAGTTGGCGTAAGGGAAGGAAGGGCCTCCCAAAGTGGGGAACCTCAATTGCTGTTGCATTGGTAATGACAACCCCTTCAAGCTCCGTCACAATCATTTAGAAGGTAATTCACGCGCAATTAAAACGATGCAATGATTCCTCGATTATTGAAGGACATGGTCAGATAAATGTATGGAATTGTACGTGTAAGCAATGAGTGGTTTTTGTAGACGTTGCATGATACGGATTTATATCACTCTCCTGCTGCTGCCATTGACCGCAATTGCTAACAAAAGGAAAGGACTCTTGGAACAAATCGTGACCGTGAATCGTGACAATTCATTACAACGTGGGAGGGGATGGGGGTGGGGGGTGAAACATTGTACCCCAATATCTTCATTAAAATTCCGTACAGGCTACGCTTATATGGCAACATCAACCATTAAACACCTGATGAAAATAAAAAAGCCTGTATGATTAATCAGCGTAAACACTTCTGGGCCTCTTTAGCCCAGTACAAATTTACTCATCATTCAGACCACCTAACGAGGACTTAAATCCCACCGAGATTACTTGATTAAATACGCAAGGCTGTGTAATTACAGCTTCACAATATTAACTCCGCCCTTACCTCCCCTGTTGCGCCGGCAATTCCGAATGGACACCTTGTCGCCAGGAGAGTTAATAATTAATGAATGACTAAATATTGGTCATTAATCATCAACCATGACCAATCCACTGCTGGATGAAAGCCTGCCCAAGCGGTTACCATCTCTTACGGTCCGGCGATGCAACGATCCACCTAGCACCCACATATGATCCAACTTCACTGCTCCATTTCCACGCTTCTCCGTCACCTGAGGCTCATTCCGTTTCTTGGCTATCATTGACCCGCCGTCCTGCCCACAATCACTTACTTTTTATCTTAATTTAGGATTCTGTTATAGAAACAAATTCTTCGTGTGCATTGGGGAGGTAATTGTTTTTTTTGTTTAGAAGTAATCTATGAGAGATACAGTTATGGGGGAGGGTGAAGTAATAAAAAAATGGACGTGATATATTGTAATTAGTTATGCACTTGCATAATTACATTCCATAACAGGACGCTTTAATTTTTCAATGTATACGCACACAGACGTTGCAAGCGTCGGTGCGGTGGGGGTGCTGGGTCTAATGTAATAAGGCCAGTGCTCTAAATCATTGTTATTCTGATTAATGCGGCTCTCCAACTAAGCGCAGAGTACACACACCATGTAGCAATTTCTCAACAGCCTTTTCAGGCTCACAGCTCTCCCTTGCTACGGAGATCCACAACAGACACGAGTGGTATGCTCCTTCCTCTCACGGTTTCTGTAATGAAAATGCAACACATGTTGAAATGACAGCACATCAACAATTACACATCAAGAACATTAAGGTTACTTTTTCATTTTTTTTAAATATCTTTTTTTTAATTCCCATCCGTATGGGAACGTTTGGGAGTATATCGTGGATATGTAAGACACGGGGGCTATAACATCAAATCAATATAAAACTTGCCTTTCATCACGTCCAGGGGAAATTCAATTTTCTGCTTTGGACTCTGTGACACAGACAAATCACGTACAATGTAACGGCGGTGGTGCGGGAGAACATGACTCACCGGGGGACGTTACAGACACATTTTAGAAGCCTTTTTAGCCAGCAGCATTTATTGGAATAACCAACCTTGTCTTGTTAAAACTAGGCCAGCGGCTTGTATATAAATTACTTTTTATTTGTTAAGATTAACGTTTATTACGCTCACCATTTGTTCTCAATTCTCCATCAATCTCTTAAGCGTCCGTGTAAACAGGAGAAAGCCTTTGCTTCTCCTCATTGTCCAAGTCCTGCACTCAAACGTTAAAAAGCAGAGTCTAGCTGGAAGTGCCGGGCAGACACTTAGAATGTCTATGGTGTTTTGTATCACAGGCACGTATGCTCACAATGCGTTTTAACTAAAATACTTTATCCAGCACCTTGAGCAGAACAAATAATGTACAACAAAAACAATTATCCTCCATATCGAGCACCAAAAACCAATGCACAGGAATTTCAACACAGCATTACTAATTCCCGCACGAAAGCCACGCTCAGTGAAGCAAGCACAAAAGATGTATGCAGCGTAGACATTTGTTTGCGTGTTGTGTGTATCGTGGGAAGTGGTGGTCCTGGGGCGAGCGCACACCAGCTATGAACCAGGCGAGTTAAGCACGACTCCTGGCCACAGACAAAAATCTGTCCTGGGCCTCGCCTGAGTCGACTGGGCCGTAAAAGTGTAACCTTGTGCGGTGTATACACATCAACACTGGGGAGATAAAAGTGGCTGTGCGTGGAGTGGGTCTTCATAGGTGCCCGCCAACAGCACTTGACCCAAGCACCTTGAATTGGTGACAAGGCGGGGGGGGGGAGGATTGGGGGTGGTGTCTTTGTACGTTACCCTCTGTTGCTATACGGGCAAAACAGAACTGGCTGCGGATGCCCAGGTCAGCGGGTCACCCTGCACACGACGCCGCTTCCTGCCGACACAAGCACACTTCACTGCCATGCGCCACCACGCAACGTCACGTCGACCCCTTTCCTGCAGAGGCTCCTTGACCAGCTCCTTGGTCAGTCGAGTGTCCTTTGTGCCAGCGTTCCTCCAAAGCTGGGCGGTGAAAAAAAAACAAAGACGACGACTAAAAGTGCACAAGCAGCAAGGGGTGATGCCCTGGCAATTGTGTTGTGGGTGATCGGTCAAAATTCAAAAACCAAACAAGCAGAAAATGTAGATTTAGTTTTTAATGCAGAGTTTAACATGGTTGTTTGTGTGTGTCTCCAATCCCCTGGTGGGCTGTGACTCATGTACGCAATGGATAATAAAGAGCTTTGTGTGCATGCCACGACAAGGAAACAGAAACAGGTGGCATCTGCGGGAATATCCCGTTCCTTAGCCATTTGCCCCCAGCGACCACAGCAGAAGACAGATATTAATGCACCTTCTTAAATGCGTCACATTAACAATCGTGTGCATTGTGTGGCATTGCTAATGAACAAAGATGCCTTAACCAAACCATGATTTGAGATGTATGTAGAGTACGTATGTTGAACTTCTTTCGCACCATGCGTAGCCAACCGTGCTCATCGGAAGTAATATACTGATGGTCATTTTATGGGTAACCTTTTTCCTTACTGAGGGTCGAACTGGACTCCCAAATACCTTTGGTGAGACGCACGAGCACACGCGCACAACCACTTCTGTCGCTGCAAGAGGCGCTTGGAATGACGGAAGTGACTGGACGTGCTAAAATCAGAAAGACGGTAGTGTCAGGTAGAAAACGTTCCCCTCGATTACTTGATTATGCGTGCAGTGAAGCCAAGATTCTTGTAGTGAAGGATAAACGTAATTCGTGGGGTGTCTCCAAGTGGTAGGCCTCATGTGGCCAAGGGGACGTATGAAATGAAATCACGGGCCTTAGGTTCCCCATCTCTGTTTAAGGATGACTAAAATGACCCCATTTCAATGTATGTATGGTATACTCTTTGGTTTTTTCGGTAAAGTCGCGTAGGTAAAAGAAAAAATGGTGATTTAATTTCGTTGTAATTTTGTTTTATTTTATTATTATTTTTACCTACGTGACTTTACCGAAAAAAACAAAGAGTATGAATCCTTGCAGTCACGAAAGCTTCAAATCTATGTATGGTATGATGGACTTCTTTTACACCGTCCGTAGCCAAACTTGCTAATCAGAGGTGCGGGGGAAGACCAACAAACGAACAATATTTATGTTCACGTGCTTACTTAAAAATGTTGCCTCACTAGCGATCACTTTTTATTTATAAACAAAACATATTTTAATAATCCCTTTATATGAAACATTTCATTGGCAATGTTATCCAGGGTGTCAAGTGACGCATACAGAGAAAACATTCACACAATTACACGTACAAAAAACATCTTTTAAACCAGTCCTCGTTAGTCGTTTATACCGCTGTGCTGATATGTTGAATACAATCTGTTAAGTTGGCTGTATATCAGCAGAAGGTTATAGCCGAGAACAGTACTGCATTCATATTATTATTGTTATTATTTATCTGCATTGCAATAACATAGAGTAGTGTTACATGCGTAGTGTCAACGATTCAGAGGCAGAGTTTATAGGAGGCACCTTCTTTATTAACAACTTCCACGTTCTCGTCCGCACACTCTCCACAGTAGCTCAGCCTAGCCTGTACACAACACTGGCCGTCTAACACTGACAGCCATGACTGAGATAGCCAACTACAATCTTGTAGCGCAATATCTAGCGGAGACGTTTAGCGACGACGGCGACGAGACGACAGCGACGACGAGACGAGTCCACTCCCAGCTCCGGCAGCCTCGAGCCCCCCGCTCTCGGCTCCTTTTATGCTCCCAGCGCGGCCTGGCCCCGCCCTGACCGCGCCTCCCTTCTTGAACCCGCCGGCAGGTTCCAGGGGCCTCCAGACAGGGTCCTCCGTGACCCTTGCCCACACACCGTCCAAGCCCTCACCGGCATGTGTGCTGTCTGTCCACCACAGTAACCACTGCTGTCCACCAGCCGGCGCTATTATACTACACATGTAGGTAATTAATAACTCTTCAGCACACCGATGATGCGACTCAACACTGTAAGTGACCTTGCTTAGACGGGGGGGGTGGGGGGGGCATACAAAACCTCAGTGAGAAGGTGGGGGGGGGGCAAGACATTAAATGAAAAACTAATTTTAAACAAATTTTAAACGGTAAAGAGAACCAGTGAGGATATGATCCGCCGTCGTGAGTGACACGATCTGCTTGCATTCTGCTCGAGTTCTCACCCCTCTGTGTACGAGCAAGCAAAGGCTGCGACGCGCCGCATTGCTTAATGGTACTCAAACATTTTTCGTGCCAACATTTTTTCTTGCTCGACCCTAAGAATTCGAAACTTCAACAAGAAGGTTCGGCCACCCCCTCCAGCTCCCCGACATTATGGGGGGGGGGCTAATGTGATTGACAGCTACGGTCACATCAATCTCTTTCGGAGATAGCGTTGCATTTTAATGAAAAATTACAATGTTTTTGTTCACAGTTGCTCACGTGTGCAGAGGATGAACCGGGATAATTTCTTGTACTGGAATGAGGCCAATGTAACGAATTAAAACGAGAGTGGAAATGCTAAGGTTTCAATCTGGAACACCCACAATAGCTTCACACAATAGGTCATTTAAAAAAATGCAAAAAGTTACACGCATGCAAAGTTCAAAAGGCCGTTGATAAAGTTACAACTTTATATGCACAAACATAATTGTGGTTAAATACTATACTCTACTTTATGCATATGTTAACAAGCCTACATTACTCTCTGCCAAGATGCACAGCTTCATAACGAAGGCATTGTATTTTATAATAACACTCATTACCTTATTATAAAACAGATTTATTTCTGATGGCTTCCACTGAGCGTGAAGGTACTGCCCATGGCTCAGTAAGTTTCTTGGCCACAAATCCACTCTTCTACAAAAAACCTAAATACTTTTACCGCGTCAGCGACCACTGGGATTTTAAAACACAAAAGAAATGCTATACGACTGCAGCAAAATTAAATATATAAAAAAATTCCAATCTTTTCTGACCATCCCATTACTAAGCCGATTGTGAAGGCAGATATGAAACGGATTAATTACAGTGAAACGTGCTCCTAAAAATATACGCAGAGCTTTTTAGCTTCGCTATCAATCATCGCTTCATATGGCCACATATGATATGTGAAATTATAATTCAGTGTTTTGATACTGCAGCACTGTGACGAAGCCAGCAATGGCCTTTGTCTAAATTTCTCCGCAAACATTGCTCGAGCACGACGCATGGGTGAACAAGCAAATTCGAGATGAGCTAAAGCCTCCAAAGGCCACAACTGTGACCCAAGCCGGGTCTTGCTGGGAAAAAAAACCGAAGTGGCTTGGTCAATGCAGTATGCCTACTTTTGACGTTTCCAGAAATAATAAATACTGTTACGGCCGGCAAAATGTATCCCAAAGAGGGCCTCTCTCAGGGAGCATCGCAATGTTGTTGCAGCGGCGAGAGTGCACGCCGCGCAACCATGCATGCTCGGGGAATGCTGACAACGAAAATAACAAGTCTAACATAATGAGAAGCAAATGCTTAAAAATTATGATGAAAATCTAGCCAACATAACCTATTTTGTAAGAAAAGCAATCGATGTAAATGTGTCGGTCCTTAATTAACACTTCATTTCTGCTCATTAAAACGTGAAACATTGAACCGTGCGCTGAATTGAATTGTACGTGCAGTGTATTTGTTGAAAGCTTTCACGCTTATGAGATCTTCAGCATTCAGAGTTATGGACGTCGACACTGGTGCAGTTGCAAGGTCGTGCAATGAACTCAGCCAACTGAGTTCGATTCCCAGTCATGGTGAACATCTGTGATGAGTGATAATTGAGTCGGTCATAGATCCTCCACATCAGCAAGGTTATGTCTGGTCAAACAACCACTATGACTGACAGCAGACGCCTTCATCCAGTCGTGGAATGACAAATTACTGTCAAATGATCAGTTTCTTTATTCAATTATAATTGTCCTGTGTTTCTCAACTATATTACCGCATAAATTATAAATGACTAAGTGTACATATCAGTGAATAGTTAATATTTTTTTTACTGCTTTTCAAACGGTGGTGTTTCATCCCGGCCAAATACAGGGCAGTGGCATGCATGAACTCGCAACCCCTGCCACAATACACACAAACAAAGGGAAATCAAATGCCCAACATGATGAGATTATTAATAAGTGCAAGCACTTCGAAAGGAAAAACATAACCCACAAAGCAGCCCCAGAGCTTGGGGATATCAAACCCATCTGGGTCAAAGGAGAAGCCAGTTTTGCAGGCAGCGTGCGAGCAGCCCGCCGCAATCAAACATTTGAATGCCCTGGTCCCAGCAGAGCACACCACGTCAGTGCTCGACCGCAGAGGCAAACCCCCCTCCGGGAATTTCAAACCTTTTTTTCCTGTTTTGCTTCAAAAACCAGACGCGACCCTCGGCGAGCTGACTTTCACGGCCGAAGCTCCCATCTGCCCTGTCAGTGGACGTTCAGCTGGCTCACGCGTTGTCGGCAGCAATCACACTTTACAATAAATCTCTGTTGTTGTTGTTGTTCGGGCGAGCGTCAACAAAACAAACGCACGCGCACAAAAGATTCGAAGATCGCACATGTGAATTGAGGTTCGTGCCGTGGAATATTAACGCGCGTCTCAGGAAAAAAATGTTTGGGGTTGATAGCCCGGAACTGTAGGATGATTGATGGATACACAGTACAAGGGTGCATTGATATGGAAATGAACAGGCAGAGTGATGGGGGAGGGATGGGCTTACAGTACTCCTTGTTAGTTTAACACCTAGGCTTTCGCGACCAATATCATCCATAAGAGGTGTTTAGGGTTAGATCGAGTAAATTTGTGTCGTTAAAACCCGCCACCACCCGACACAGCCAACTAGTAAAGGTTTTCACGTAAACACAACACGCGAATTCGTCACTAGTACAGCACACCGGTGTGTTGGAGAGCCAAGCCACAACATTTACAATCTGAGTACGACGTTTCGCCAGTAATTAGAACTAGCTTCATCAGGCGACAGACAAATTTGTGGAGAAGTATAACTGTGTCGCTCCTTATATAGAGGCGTAGATGTGGTGGCCACGCTTCTGCGCTCTGGCGCCACGTGGGGTGGGGGGTGGGGATTACTGAGGCCACGTACATTATGTGCATTATGCGAGCCTTTTGAACGTATGCTTCCTGTCTATTGTTGATTAAAATAGCCTTACCGGCTTCGCCAGGGCCTCCTCGTGCCATTTGTACTGGGTTTGTCACCTCTGCAACAGCGACCAAAGAGCGGCATTTTCGCAAGCGCTAATACCACAAGAAACTAAGACAAGGCACACACTTACGTATTCAAATGTATCAACGGCATTGGTCAAGCATACAAATGCAGGACACTCTTGAAAATTAGTTTTGGTACTCACCGTGGCTTTCCTAAGGTAAATACGGAACATGCCCAGGCATTTTGTCAATCCACTGCTGGATGAGGCCTTCCCCACACTTTAATAAAAAATGAAAAACATTTCTCTGCTTGTTAGTCATCGCAATTACTCAAGTACCACGGAGCGTGCATAGATTTTCAACCAATTAAAAGGCACCATAAAAGCAATTAGCCTCATGCTTAGGTCAATCAACGAAAGTGGTTTCCGACTTCGATGTGAAGGTTTCCGATTTAATGAGGAGTAATTTAGTTGTGTGCAGATGATCCCTCCTGCACTTACACGCACATGGCTCATTAAATCTAACCGTTACACCCCACCAACCTTGAGTGAAGTTTGTAAAAAAAAAAATATACCCTTCAAATTGTCCACCTCTCCAAGAAATTGGCAAAGACAATAAAAATCACGACACTGCATTTAGACAGCAATTGTAACTTACAGGAATGCAATTTTTTTTATTTTAAAACGTTCAACCATTTATTTTAGTGGATGGCATTTCTTCCCAAAAAAATACATTTGCATAAATAGTTGGTTCCATTGTTGTTCGTAAAGTTACTCGCTGCAACCAAATAAATCGTAGCTGAACTGTTTACATTGCACGCTGACAACAATCTGCCATTCTCCAAACGCTGTGTGCGCACACTTCCTCTGATCGCGATATGATCCCAGCCTATCCACTGCGGCACACTGATGGCGGTGATTTCACTGCCGATCTTTGCCCGAGTTGAGTCTATCCCTCAAAAGATTTTTTTTTAACTGATCAAGGGGGAAGCGCCAAAATAAATAAGCACGCATTACACCTCCTTTCCCATACATCTATTTGTCTTTCCACATTAAAAAAGAGAAATGCATTTGTTACATTCCTTTGGCCGCGCAGCCTACAGGGAATGCATCAAAATAAATACTTGGATGTTTACGTGGAGAGGCAAATATGGAAAGGAGGCGTTATATTTGCTCATTTATTTTGTTACTTGTACTCTGCACAATTACACTCAATTAATACTTATTCACGAGCAAACACGGGCCTCAGAAGCCGTTTCCTGTGATCATGGCCACTGCAACCAGGCCTGGCACGAAGTTTACGAGAACCCTCATCAACTCTGTGCTTCCCCGGAGTCGGGAAAACAGGCGGTGGGGGGAAGACGTGGGGGGAGGTGGGGAAGAGGTGGGGGAAGTGGGGGGGGGGAGGTGGGGGAAGAGGGGGGGTAGAGGTGGGGAAGAGGTGGGGAAGAGGTGGGGGAAGAGGTGGGGAAGAGGTGGGGAAGAGGTGGGGGAAGTGGGAGAGAAGGGGTGGGGGAAGAGGGGGGGTAGAGGTGGGGGAATAGGTGGGGGAAGAGGTGGGGAAGAGGTGGGAGAAGAGGTGGGAGAAGAGGTGGGGAAGAGGTGGGGAAGAGGTGGGAGAAGAGGTGGGGAAGAGGTAGGGAAGAGGTGGGGGAAGTGGGGGGGGGGAGGTGGGGGAAGAGGTGGGGGAAGAGGTGGGGGAAGAGGTGGGGAAGAGGTGGGGGAAGTGGGGGGGGGGAGGTGGGGGAAGAGGTGGGGAAGAGGTGGGGAAGTGGGGGGGGGGGGGAGGTGGGGGAAGTGGGGGGGAGGTGGGGGAAGAGGGGGGGAAGAGGTGGGGAAGAGGTGGGGGAAGAGGTGGGGAAGAGGTGGGGGAAGAGGTGGGGGAGAGGTGGGAGAAGTGGGGGGGGAGGTGGGGGAAGAGGTGGGGGAAGAGGTGGGGAAGAGGTGGGGAAGTGGGGGGGGGGAGGTGGGAGAAGTGGGGGGGGGAGGTGGGGGAAGAGGTGGGGGAAGAGGTGGGGAAGAGGTGGGGAAGAGGTGGGGGAAGAGGTGGGGAAGAGGTTGGGGAAGAGGTGGGGGAAGAGGGGGGAAGAGGTGGGGGGAGGGAACCACCTCCGGAAATACCGCAGGGGGTTGTGAGGGCACCGCTGAAATGCATTTTTATGCCTTCCTCAACCCCCCTCCTTTATTTCGTGCCCGATGCAACTGCCTAAGGTCACCTTCCACCCCTAACGCCATCACTGAATGTAACCACCATTATAACAGAACTCTTTTTTGTGTCTGTGGTGTTGTGAAGGAGGAACATCGCAGGTACTATCTACTACGAGCTGCGATGTTACCAGAAAATGTACCCCCGTTCATCCGTCCTAAAAAAATGCGGATAGAAAGCGATTTCATAATGCGGGACAGGAAACCCCACGGATAATATGAATGGGGCTGCAGGCTATTTCAGTGTTTACGGATTTCAGTACAGAGGTAATAAAAGTCGCAGGAAAATCGGTGTTCTACATACCAGGCTGCGGGTCTACACATAATAATTTTCCAAGCTGCATTCTATATTAAACATTTGCCTTGCATTACTGAACTTGGGCTAGAAAAAAGTTAATCAGAACGTGAACACTGTAAGTTGGGGGGGGGGGGCGTGGGACGGTTTATGTCCTTACATGAGCTCTCTCGGGCGTCCTCATGGGACAAACATGCCCGGAGTATGCAGAGGATGTCATGTGATCACTGACACACGGGCACCGTGAAGGCGCGTTGGGACGTGCGCGCGGAAATCCACACGCCCCATCCACCCTTGAAGGTGGCGTGCCCAGCGAATGCCACGCTTTTAAAGGACACAGTCCTAAAGGCGTCCCAGGCAGATGCCGAAGAAGCTGAAACATATTCAGCAATAATCCCCACGTCAATGTCAATAAGGCAATATTGTATTTCAATAACGGCAACTGTGTGTATTCGTGATGTCATTGCATTTCAATTACTTCGTAATGAAGACCAAACAAATCTCGTTACAACCACGTTTCATTTCCGATGGGGGGATTCGTTCATCAGAGTGGTGAAGTTTTGATGAAAGTGCTGCTCTGCCAAAGTGATAAATGGAGTGCGTTTCACTGTCTAAGCATTTTCACACGGCGAGCACAAACACACGGACCTCATTCTCCCATGGTCCACTCAGCACCGCGTGCGTCGATTTGCGCTGACAGTCCAAACCCCTTGCAGTTTCGCGTGGCACAATGGCCACATCTGAATCTAATTATAGTAAAAAAAACACATTCCGGTGACTGTTTAACCAAGCAGGAATTTCAGGATTTGTAAATGCGAGCTCGGTTGCAGAATCTCAATTTACAACAAAGCTGGCCACCATTATAATGTAGGTTTCATTAAGAAGATAAAAAATAAAAACTGATTTCACTGTTCCACTACCAGCTCTAAGTTTATGCGATGTTATTTTGTTTCCACAAAGAAGGAGACGGAGATTGTTTCCTTATTTAACCATCATCAAAAGCAAGAACATGGGCTCCAGTCTGCGTTGGTTTCAGTCTGTGGTTTGCATGCAGACTTCTCCAAAATAGAAAAACCTCTGGCGCCTCCACAATTGCCAGTCTCCACCGTGAGACACGGAGAGTGGCAAAACAACAAGGAGGGTCCTAGACAAGAAGACTGTTGAAAAAAGGGCAGCTTTGGAAAGAGTTAATATATTGCAATTGAACAACCAAACTGGAACACTGACGGGCTGCCCAGGTGAACAGAAATACTAAACAGAATACATTTGCGTTGTGCGTGTACTGCCTATCTATTTTGGGGTGGTTATGATAGGAATATGGTAATAAGGCATGTCATGATCAATCCCCACCGCCCACGACGATTTGATGAATTGGCATGATTCAGGGTGCAGCTCAGTTTAATAACATTTAAAAAAAATCTAAATATAACCATCCCACTTGTATTGTTTCTGTTTTGTTTGTGCAGGATTGTTTAGCCTAAACGTAACCATAGTAAATAATTAGCATATATTGTAATTGATTTCTACTTGCATTATGTACCGTGGGTGTAATATCTATTTTAATTGGTTAAATCTATGCAACATTCCAGGGTCAGTGGTCATGACAAGCTGAGTGTGGTGGTGGTGCTTATATGATATCCAGTGATTTGGAAGTGATGTTGGTGGATTCTGTGAGAAACCGATCTGCAGGACAACAAGGAACCTGAAGGAGGAGCGAAGTTAACCACCTCATGCAAAGGTATATATTTTTTCCCGAGCATTACAATTCCTTTTCATACGAATCATTACAGTACTATGGATATAAAATGAGATGGCCAGGTGCCTGAGAGGTTAGAGCACTGAGCTTGTACTACTGAGATTCTGGGTTCAAAATACAGGCAGCTGCCTGTGGTTACACCGAGTTCTGAAGAATACTCTGTAACATCCACTTTACTCTGTCATTTTTTTTTACAAAAAGGGTTGCACTGCTCTGCGCGAGTTCCGAATGCATACTTTGTCTCATGTCAATAGCAATTTGAGATGAAACTGGAAAAATATTCCAAAAACAAAAACATTGAAGCAGGACTTCCTTGAAAATGACTTTTGACACTTAATATTTAAAAAAATGTCGTGAACAATTAAACAATTAACATAAGTAGTAAGAATTAAAAAAAATTATGACAGGTCGTGATTTACAACCTTGGATATTGGCAATATATTATTGTGGAATTTCTTGTCTGTAAAATTGGCAAAAACTGTGCTCGACAATGCTCGCTATGTGTTCGGTGGTGGCTGTGCATGCTTGCACATTGTAATCTTGACAATTCAGGAGCTGTGTGATGACTGATGCCAGGAAAGAGTCAAACAATTCTGTCAGCAGTGTGTGAGAAAGGCTAACGCACGCACACACGCACGTATGTACACACGCACGCTGACATTTCATGAACTACGCACTGTCCTCGCATCACTCCGAGCACTCTCGATCATGCCATGACATTTTGTCCTCTCCGGCAAAAGATTAAACAGATTTGAAATGGCTGCTCAAGAATCCCATATAAAAGAAGCCATTCTGCTTTTGCTCTGTAGTTTTGAACTCGAGTGCAATACGTCATTTAGCTCTGGAAATCGCGTAGCGTTTCAACCGATTAATTTTGACTTTAGCTTCTAGCTGCTTTCTACCATTATACACTTTGTTGCTTCTTTAAAACCAAGGTCCATCTAAAAGTATTATAAATGGGTCTTTAAAATGTGCAATGTTGTCATTTAAATACATCTTCCACTAAATGTTTACAGAGCTATACAACTACAGTACTGTACATACTGTTCGGGTTAAGAGGCCCAGTTGACAAA